TAAATTACTATCCTTGGTCCGGTATATACCCTACTCCCTACTTAGATTTAGCAACCCACACTTGGTCCATGTGAATTTAAGTAAACCTAAGTGCGTTAAAATCTATGAATGTTCCCAAATTCAATAAACCACCCTCAATTTACTTACTACCGAAACCACACAAACAACCTAGTATATCTCTATCTAAGTTAAATTCATGGTTATATATCATAAAGCACTCGCATAGAATCTCCTTTTGGTTTAATCATGCAATAAAAATCATTCAAATGGTGATCAAGCACTTAAAAGCATTAAGAACATGATATATAACTCACACATATGAGATCTACAATTGCACAAACAAGTCTTGAAAATAAATCAATCATAGTTAAGCTACATCGTAGCTCTAACAACAAGCAATGTAGAACATAATGAACATTAAACTAAAAACAATAACTAAACTAAACACGATAGCAGTGTAGAACATAATGAACATTAAACTAAAAACAATAACTAAACTAAACATGATGAAGAACTAGAACAGATTCATCAAGAATAATCAAGGCTTGATTTTTAAGTTGTCTCCTTCTTCTTCTTTTTTCTCTCTCCCTTATGAGATCCCGTTTAATGTCTTTTATATAGACTTCCTCTTGCTTTCCAAGAAAACTTAATCACAATAGGATTGCAATTAAAGGTTCTTCCAAATAGGACTCCTCTCAATAATAAAACTCTTTTTTCTAGCTTGGACTTTGATTTTCTTCCCAAAATAGGCTTGATTCTTCTTGATTTCAAATTTGCAAGGCTTTGATCTCTAATTTGGGAAGCTTCCACACAGTTTAGGAACAATTGGATTGTTTTGGATACTTTCACGCGGCTTAGGAGGACAAAACGTGTGGAAAGCCGGCAAATTACAGAATTAGTCCCTAAGCTTCCTTTAACTTCAATTACCTACAAAAATTAATTAAAATAAATAAAGTAGACATCAAATTGAATTAAAACTAAGCAAATATTAAGTTAAAATAATAAATAAACTCTATATAAAATAGAATTATCAATAAAACTTAAGAAAATCGATATAGAAATATAATTCGATTAAAGCTAAACTCACTAAAAAAAACTACTATTGGTACATTTTTTTAAAAAAAATGACTCTCGTAATTATTATTCAATTGTTATTACCAGAATTCTCAACATGGTCTATTTGATCATATTCTGAAATTCAGGTACATGTTGAAATTGGTGGTTGACGACAACGACACAAAAGCATATGCCCACTTGTTTGATGCAGCCAAGAAGATCATTGGACATTCCATACATCAGTTTGTAACATCAATCAATAATGTATGACCAATATTTTCTGATTTTGCAAAATTCAATTTAATTTTCACATTGATCGTATTCAATTACATATACCGTAATTATGGCATTAAGGCAATAAACTTTAGTCAGTCCAAAAGAATCGCAAAAATAAAAAAGAAGAAAGGTAAAACTCCCCGCCGTTAATATAAGCCAAATTTCTTCTACGGCAGCACGTGAAGGCTGCTGCTAAGAGCCCTTTTGACTATCTGTAATGGAATATCATTTGAAATATTCTTCCCCAAAAAAACAAGATAATCCAATTCATTCAGCCAACATTTACACCAATATTTTCATTTATCGACATCTTCTTGTAAATACAAGCTATCTTGCGTAAACGGGACTAGTTTTTCTTGCGCGGTACGACCCTTTCAGGACTGCTCAGGCGGTATGACTCGGGGATGCTTGTTAAACACCTTATGAAAAATCGGGAAAACCCGGTTTCGTGATTGTGAATGCTACAGAGGAGAGTTACATCAGGTTACCTTCTTCGGTTGGGAAGGGGGGGGGGGAAAGAAAGTAAAGAATAGGGAGAGAGTTCTTGGTAAAATGAACTCTTTGTTGGGCTTCACTGGTGTTATTAGAACAGCTGTCGGTGAAGTCACGAAAGGTGAAAAAGCATATGAGGAGGACATAATCTATCTGTCGTACCTCGCCTAACATGTGGAATGTCTTGGATCACAAGACAAATCTAATCTCAGGCAATTTCCTACCTGTGGGGAAGAGAGAGAGAGAGATAGAGATAGAGAGATATGGTTTGGATTTGACTCCTCAAACAATGCATCGTTGTTGGGGTGGTTCATCTAATGCAAGCCCCCTCGCTTGCTTCCAAGTTACTCCATCATCTCCTGTTCTCTGTCCGGCGAGCTAGCCCCCGTGATCGACAAATGCTACTTTACACCTCACATTCTGGAGTGGTCGGCAACGAGCCATGCCGCACGCCGAAGTATGCGTACAGATGTATCCACTGCGATAAGTGCAAGCAGAAAACAATACGGAGTGCAGGAGGGCGGGTGTATCATGGACACAGAGCTCAGCCCGCCGGTGACAAACGACTTGAGTAACGACCTCGGTCCCGCCGATCTGGGGCTAAGGAACACCGCATTGAAGCCGGAGCTTGGACTCTGCAACTGACATTGTCTACTCACGCCACAAGGTAAGAACACACACAAGGAGGGGAATGAGGAAGTGTTCCCGAGGCCCTTGCAACACACAGCCCGGCCCGTCCCAGAAGACTCCGACGCGTCGCTATTGCCCTTTTGGCTCTCCTAAGCGTGCCCACTGACTCCATTACTCGAGAGCTTTGGCACAACAGAGAAAAAGGCAAGCCAGCAATTTGCAACACTCAGCAGTATCATCATCATTAGATATCCATCAAGACATTTCACAGTCTATTAGATTGCCATGGGCAAATGAAGACAAGTTGCCAAACGTATGGATGGCCAAAATAAGCTCTATTCATTTGGTGGAGACAGCTGCACAAAAAGACTTGCTTCCCCACACGACTAGATCTCATAGATTCGCAATGGTCCCAAGCGAAGCCATCGCAATCTGCGATCTTACTACTGTTGAGTTTCTCGGACTAAGCTCTAAAATAGTCATTTGAAGTTCATCCTACAAGAATTATATCGCAACTGTTTATACTCACTAGACTAGGTGACTATTGAATTTGGAAATCTTAAAAAAGCCATCGCTGCATTTATTGCAGTTTGTAAATCGGCAGAAAATAGCACAAATGACCTGCAGTGATATCGTGGGTACCAAAGAAGCAGTCACTTCGCCTCCAATGGCCGCCACTTCCCGAACAATACGTAATGGCTCTTGAAACAGCATCGGTTTCAGAAGGATGGGGAGCACCAAAGGGTATCCGTGTCCCATTGATGGAGCCGCAAACAAATGGGAAACTGTTAACTGCTCGATCGTCTTCCCAGAAAAGCAAAAGAAATTTCGAAGAAGCTCTATCTTTTGAAGGATTTAATCTTGGTCTCTACAGGTTCGACATAATCAGGCAATGGAGGGGGCAGGTGAATGCCTGCAAATGTGAACTAACATCCATGACCGGGGCTTGCTCGCCCACATTTGCCTTAAATTCGTAGTACGAGCACCTTGAACGTCATCTACGCCTAACTTTCCTCAATGACCTCAGATTGCAATGCAGATACGAGCACGAATCTAAGTCGGTTGAGCTATAATGCAACTCAACTTCGCAAACAAGTCTAGTCCATGAAAACAATGATCAGTACAACAACATGGACCATCTAATCAAACTCTGTCTCCTGTTACATCGCTGAGTAATGATGACTAATCTTAAAGGAGTTAAGGAGCCCTAATAAGTCTCGACGCTGCTTCTGCAAATCCTGGCCCAATGCTTTTCATCTCTAAGAATCAGTGGAATTGTATTCGAAGCAAGTCCTCGATTGCAGAGAGATGTCTCTTCAGAAGAAGTCTGAGAAGAGTGTTTTTTTTTTCCTTTTTTGTTTTCTTTCCCTAACAATACATCTTTGGTATAACATTCATTAGAACTCCACTCTGACAGTGAAGTTCATGTAAACCCATGAATTTGTAAATTGGTACAAGGAATCGAACTTGAAAGGATATCAAGATAAAGTTGAATGTGCTGATGTTTAATCTCAACGCTTAAACTGTCAGAGAACGGTGCAGAATATATGTTACATCTAATTGTATTTACCTAAGAAGTAATTGGCAATGTTGTGTATACGAGATCAAACTTCCCTGTTTTCCTCTGGTACTTGTCCTTGGAGATGTCAAACCATTTTCTGTATCCGAAAGTCTAATTGTTGACAGTTCGCATCGTGCTCAAATCCAGGCATTCACGTGATAATGATAAGAAAATAGAAGCAATATGATCAAAGAGGGAGAGTTAACGAGTTTGACACCATGGCATGAATTCTAGTCTTTGACAACTGATTGTTTGTCCAAAAGACCATGTGTCTCTGCATTTTCTTTCTTTAGAATTAGTGCATGAATGAACAAAATTCCTCCTCTGCCTGTTGCAAAGACCTGAAAAAAATGTCGCTCCATCAATTCCTAAACAACAGCTATATTTGTGGACTAGCTGCAAACACGCACACCTGTCTATCGCGGTGACATCAATTGAAGGTACTCGAGGCGAACAAATCTGATGGAACACCCTGCCATAGAGAATATGATCAGGGAATAAGAACAGATTCACGAGTGATGCAAGTTGGTGAGAAGCTATCAGCCTCTTGTTGTCAGGAACTATATCAGAAGCATCTTGGAGGGAATAAGTACCCCATGGGCATTCTTCCAGGATAATGAAACAATGCGAGAATCTCGCAATTGTTGTTCTGCAGATCGAGTCCTAATTGAGCCAAGCATGGACCAAGAGTATCCACGCATGTTTCGAAATCAAATAAGGAGGATCATTGAACTAGTGGATACGGTAGTTGTCCTATTTAAAATTTTTCATTCCAGTACAGAGAGGGAATAAGCTTTGGTTCTTTCAGTTTGGATTATGTCAGAAACAAGATGCGGACTTCAAGATTTTAGACTCAGTGACATAATTAATTCCCAGCACCTGAATTGCCATCTTCCCCAACTTGCCGCGATGGATTCTATTCCTAATTGCTCGATGTCGCAAGCGCTATATAACATCGGCAGAGGACTGAAAAATTCATCGAAGTTCGTTCGAGGAGGAAGATGGTGTCAGCGGCAGTACTTGGCAGGAACTTTCTAGGATTTCGTCGCCACAAACTTTTGAAAGAGCACAGAGTTTCGCGAACAGAAAAATTCACTCCGTATGATTCATCAAGAGGTGAGTTATGTCCCTACATCAAGGTCTCCAATTACTTTAATAATTTAGTAGATATAACAAACAGTACTAATTTATTAGTCCTTTTCATTCAGATTTCCCATGGAAGACGTCTCCTCTGAAAACTTTGAATTTGACTATCTCAACGGGCGACGACATAATCAGAAGGGACAGAATTCAGGTTGTATCTCCAGATATATCAGCACTTAGCTGGGGACCGGAGGTCCTTGATGCTTGGGACGATGAGTATGGCGGGGTTGTCATCGATCCTTGGAGCTTACCCTCGAGTGCAAATGCTTTTGCATCTGCCCTAAAAACCTCGCTATCCAACTGGAAATTGAAGGTCCGCATGGAGAAACAAAATTTAAGCTGCCTAATTTTCGACTCACCAGCATAAATAAGCATGTGCAACAACAGAAAAAGAAAATTGTGTATGGTTAAAATGCATTTTTTTAATCTTGGAAAGCATTACTTGTTCTTGCTTCAAGTCCTTGTTGATCCTAAATGTAACAAGGGAATTAAGCACCTTAGTTTCAAGATAGAACACTATTAGGAGCTCAAGGCGACACTCACTCACCATTCACATACTCCAGCTCCAGCGTAATATGCAATCACGATATCAATCGTGTGAAATGCAGGGTAAGAGGGGAATATGGCTCAAAATACTCGAAGAGCAAGCAGACCTTGTTCCCATTGCAATACAGGCAAGAGCTAAATCCTCCCAGCACTCATCTGACCACATCAGATTGAATGTCATATGTGAAAACCCCATATAACATTGCCAAAGCTTCTGTTTCCGGCATCACAGGAAGGCTTCAAGTACCACCATGCCGAACCGGGATTCCTGATGCTAACATACTGGATCCCTGATGAGCCCTGCCTTCTTCCTGCCGGTCCTTCCCATCAAATTGGTGTCGGAGGATTTGTGATCAATGACAAAAGAGAGGTTCACTAACCAATATTCACATTTTCTTTCTGCCACATTTTTTCTCGTGAATCTTTGCTTGGTTTTTACTATTTCTACTGATACGCTGCATTGTTTCCGAGTTCGACGCAGGTCCTTGTGGTAAAGGAAAAATGTTCCTGCAACTGTTCTGATGTGTGGAAGTTGCCAACTGGCTATATCAATAAGGTGATTCTACTGCAAACCCAAATTAAAGTTTCGACAGCTTTGAAAGTACATGTCCTTATTTAGTGAGTTGTCTCTGTTGTTCAGTCTGAAGATTTGTTCTCTGGAGCTGTGAGAGAAGTGAAGGAAGAAACTGGTGTAAGTTCAAGTTAACCTTTATTAAAGTTTAGCAACAACAAGCTCAAATAAACTCCCATGTGTGAGGACTTCGGTCAACGGAGCTCCAAAAAGAAAACTTCTCAAAAGTGAATTTAGTAGAGTTGAACCTTTCTTTGACGGCACCCGTCAATTCGTCGGGCTGCGATCTGCGCGGACATTCGAACTAGTAGCCACATCAGCTCCTACCAAACCTTGTTGCGACAACTTAAAACCCACCCACGAAAATTTGCCAAATCAACAAACTAGATCGATTGATTTCCGAAACGAGCGCGCGACTTAACCGATCGAACGACGGTCAATTTGAGCCTCTTCCCCTCGTTTCTTTCCCGTTCAAAAAAGTCTGTCATAAAGTCCTCATGGTTTCCGAACCTTCACTCAGTTTTGTCACGCAGGTCGACACAGCTTTCCTGGAAATGGTCGCTTTCAGGTAAAACCGAAATGAAACACCCTTTGACGATCTGTACAAACTTGAGACAACAACACCACGACGTATTTATCTACGATCATGACGATGGACTTTGTCCAGGCGCGGAACTTCGTCATAGCTATTTATTTATTTACATATCTCTGTTTCCTGTCCTGTTTTTTCTGTCGGCATGTGAAGGCATGTCCACCTGGTGGCTTTTGAGAAGTCAGATTTGCTGTTCGTGTGCATGCTCAGGCCCCTGTCCTCTGACATCACCATTGATGACAAAGAGATCCAAGCCGCCAAGGTATACATTCAATTAGTGCATAAACTATATATATATATTCTTTCTTTAGAATGTATTTAGAATGTATTTGTTTAGGACGAACTTCAAATACTTCCCGAGAAACCATTTTTCAGAAAAATTGCTACTTTACCTTTATTTGGTGATGTGTGACTGAAAATATTTTATGGTGTTTGAATCTTATTTGGAAAATAATTTTGATCTTCAGACTTTATCTTAAACAAAAAAAAAATCGAATATTTAAATAATTTTATTTCTTTTCTTTTTTCTTTGCTTTTCTATTTTTTTTCTATTTTTTCTTTTTCCTCCCCTAGTCACCGAGCTCGACGGCCATGACAGGCCAATGGTGAGGGCCGACCTGGCTGGCCTCGGGCAAGATTAAGCTCACTAGGATATGGCGAGGCTCAAGCTCATCGGCCTTAGGCGAGCTCGCTCGAGGTTGGCAAGGTTCGACCTCGCCCAAGGTTAGTTCGTGGCTGTGGCCGGTCGCCGAGGCCCAGCGACAGGTGGAGGAGGAAGAAGGAAAAGAAAAAAAAAGATAAAATAAATATTAAAAAATTCAAAATGAGCAATTTCGAAAAATGTTTTCACCTTTTTAGATTTAGGAATTCACTTCCTTAATTTTATACATGGATATTTTCCTTGACCGGAAAATGCTTTCGGTTAACCAATCATTTTCGGTAAATCAAACGGGTGAAAGTTCGAAAAACTAATTCCGAGAAAACACTTCCCCTCGAACAACCACCGCACCCTCAAACAGAATGTGTTCAAGGTTTGGTTAATTCTACCATTTGCAGTGGATGGGTTATGATGAGTTCATCGGTCAACCCTATTACCAAGAGGATCACATGCTGAAGAAGGCGATGGAGCTGTGCATGGAGGCGTACGAGGAGCGCTACTGTGGATTCATTGCTTACCAGCTGACCTCGAAGCTTGACGGCAAGCTGTCTTACTTGTACTATTACGGGGGTCCATGCAATGTAAAACATGATGTGCTTTAGATATTTAACAAGTTTCTAATTCATACAACAAATCAATCAATCAATCAATAAATAAAAGGGGGTAAGCCTTGTAAAACATATATATATATATATATATATATATATATATATATATACTTCCTATCATTTTGGTCCCCGAACATTTTGTGTTTAAATTTGTTCGGCCTAATTTTATAAAGAAAACCCTCAACTTTTGGTCAATTCTCAATTTTACCCCGAACTCTTTTTTTTGTCTAAAAAAAAATCACTAACTGTCGATCTAATCCCAAATTTGCCTGAAGTCCAAAAATCGCCACCGATTTCTTTGAAGTCATCAACATTGGGATACTGTTCTTGTTCCATACAAAGGTGATAGTGCTGGTGAAGACGAGGGTTCCAATAATAAACCTCTAATTGGCCCCGGTGTTGATAAACTAGTGGAGATTTTTGGACGCAAAGACAAATTTTGGACTACTATGAAAGTTTGTGAATTTTTATTTTCTAGACAAAAAAATAGTTCAGCATAGAATTAAATTGAACTTAAAAAGTTGAGGATTTTTTTTAGGGAATCGAGCAGAATTTGTTCTAACATGCTCTTCTATTAAATAAAGGAGTTATACGACTACAATAATTCAATTATTATTATTAGGGAAAAAGCTACAGAAAAATCTAAAACTATGACAACTGTTACACATTTACCCTCAACATTTTTTGTGACATTAAAAACCCCAAATCATATCTAGTGTGACACATTTACGCTAAACTTTTTCTTGTGACATAAAAATTCCAAACTTGTACTTATGTGACATATTTAGCATCCGTCAATATTCGTTAAATAATTTTTCAGCCAAAATAACGTCACTTAAGTCACGTGGTCGCCATGTCAATATTATTTGCTTTCTAGTGTCCAAATAGGCATATTTTTAATTGTTCTCATTGACAGAACTTTGACGGAGGGTAAATTTCTCACACAGTACAAGTTAGGGATGTGCAAAACGTAGGGGCGTTAGAAACTGAACCGAAAACCGAACCGAATCAAATAGAAAATTTATGCATTTTCGGTTCGGTTCGGTTCGATTTCGATTCGAATAATGAGTAAAAAATTTTGGTTAGTTGATGATTCGGTTCGGTTCGGTTCGGTTCTGTTCGGATCGGATCGAATTTTGGTTTCATTTTGTTTTTTCTTCTCTTTGAGCACTCTCTCTCTCCCATGACACTGACAGTTCATTATTGCTCTTCTTTCTCTCTCTTTCCCTTTTCTGCTCTATTCTCTCTCTTCCTCTGTCTTCGCAAAACTCCATTTACATCTCTCGCAGATTCAATCATCTGGCTCTAAGGCCAATGTCTCGTCCTTCCCCTTTCCTTCTTCGAGCTCGTTTTGGTGGATCGTCACTGAACGAGAAGGCCAACGTCTCCAAGGAGCTCAATGCCAAGCACAGAAAGGTTTCACTTCTTTCAGGGTCACCGCGACCATCCTCCTCCGTCTTCCACGTCGAACGGCTCCACCATGCCGAGCATCTTCTTCAAGATAAGAGAAATAGTTCATTATTTGTGTCCCATCTTGGTACTGTCCATCTTCTTCTAGATGAGCAAACATATGAAATTTCGAGAACTGACAGATTTGAGAGGTTCTAGGTCTCGAGGATCGTCGTGCAAAAAACGATCATCTACCTTAAAATACCTAGCAATCATCTCTACATGGCGCGGCGGATCTTAAGCCGTCGGATACAGTGACGGAGCTCGAGGCCTTCTGATCTCGGGCCTCAAGCTCCACGCCGCGGCGGAGCTTGAGGTCGTCCAGCATGGCCGAGATCTTGAAGGCCTCCAAAATCGTCTAGTGAAGAATCATCTTTGTCCTTGTAATCGGGGGAGCTGGTGGTTGCAGCGAGAGACGACAGCGAGCTCAGCGTGGCCATGTCGCTGGTCTGGGTCAAGGAGGGGAGGGTGCGAAGGGAAGAAGCGCAAAAAAGGAAAAAAAGAGAAAAATCGAAAACCGAACTGATCCGAACCGATCCAAACTGCATTTTTGGTTTGGATCATATCTGGTTCATGTGCCTTTCCGTTCGGATCAAAGCGCAACTCCAAACGGTTCGGTTTGGTTCGACTTTCCTAAAAACCCGAACCGAACCGAACCATTGACACCCCTAAGTAAACAGAGCCGGACCTAAGCCCAGGCCAATTGGCTCGGTCGGTTAAGAGTGTCGATCGATTCTGGATTCAAAAAGTGAAATCGATGTCCAAGGCGATCCGGGTTCCTGGTTCCGGACCGAACCAGATCGGAAACCGATCACCTCTAATACAAGTTTGAAATTTTTGATATCACAGAAAAAAATTTAGGGTAAAAATGTCATATCGGATATAATTTAAGATTTTTTGTGGCTTTCGCCTTTTTTATTATTATCATCGTTTTATCAAATATGCGGACTACTTTAGACGGCAGTAGCCAGCCAGAGACACGAAGCTTCATCGATGCCAGAAAGGTACGAAGAACAGATCCCAGCAACTTCGGTTGTTTTCTGCAATCCGCACAAACGAAAATGGCGGCCGAGCGTGGGGCGTGGCGGCTTTCCACGCGCCGTCCCAACGGACAACGACTTGACTGACCGACGTCCCCGAGTTTCTCACAGCCTCCCTCGCTTTCCTCGTTTTACCTGTTTTTTATGGTCGAGACGTGAGAGTTGTTAGATTATCATTAATTTATCAAAAGATCTATTACTATATTGCGACGCCTTGTCATTAGAATCTTAATGAAATACACACAATTGGGTACAAAGTGGTTTTTATGATGGTGCAATTCCTAGGGGGTCCAAAAGGGCTTCCGACCCTTTACCTCCTCTCTGAACCAAGACCGTTGGCTTTTTTCTTTTTTTGGGTCCGTGCATCGAATTCGGATCGCGAATCGAATTGATCCTTATGTTTGCGAATGTTTATGTTTCGGTCGAACGATCGACGTTGATTTATGTCGCCCTCCCGTACTGATTGATGTCACTTTTGTATTTTGTTAATGTCTACTCTCGTATGTGTGTCGAACCGTATAAAGTCACGTGACAAAATTGAAAATCGGCACCAAGGGGGATTTAGGTGGCGAGAGACTTTATTCCTCTTATTGCGGTTTTAGGTTTAACCCTTGTTAGGAGCACTCGAGAAGTAAAATTCCGAGTGTACCAAGCTGATATAGGGGATTGCACACTTAAAATAGCCAGGAGAGATGGGCTAGTCAAGATATGCAAAAACTAGCTCAGACACCACCCGATCACTAGATTAAGAAGAATAAAAAGGGAAAATTTGACAATCCTAGTTCACATGGAAACTATATAGTCAGTGGACTAAATAAACTTCATTTTGAAAGTACAACAGAGTCACTATTTAACTCAATTTGAAAATCCATTACTCTTCTGTAGGATAAATGACTCAAATGATCATCCCTCAGCTTTGACTAAATATGTAATGTGATTCTTGAACTTTAACTCAATGTGCAATGTCATCTATGAACATTTAATTTGTCCAACGTGGTTCCAAGACTTTTGGTAAATATTTAATCTAGTTCATGGATTATATTAAAATGTTAAATATTGCCCCTGAACTTGAATTAATGGAAACAAAATTCATACAGTTCAAGGACTAAATTGAATATTCAACAAAAGTCTAAGAACCACATTGAATAAATTAAAAGTTCAAGGATAACATTGCACATTGGGCTAAAGTTCAGGGATCACATTAAACAAATTTAAAATTCAGTAACCACATTGGACATCGTGTCAAAGTTCAAGGACTATTCATGTCATTATCCCTCTTCTATATGGTCATGATTATTCGGCTCAAAGGAAAAATACATAACCCTTTCGTGTTTTATTAAACAATTTGATTTTTCTAGAGTGATATTCTTAATATGTGTTTCACTTAAAAGTGTCAATAAAATATCTTTCAAGAATATGGATGGATTGATAGGATTCAACAAAGGTTACAAAGGGGTCCTTTATTGATTTTGAAAGTAAATGACAAGAAATTTAAAGGTACGAATACTGATAATCGCGATCAGCCATTTAATTGTAGGAAAGTAAAGATAATAATAAATTTGCGAGAATGATAAGTTATTTAATTGATTGGGGTTATTTTACAAATAATAGAATGTAGCTATTTATAGACCACAATCAAAGGTACCACCTGATGTAGCGTTCAGCGAATAATTCAAGCAAAACCTTGCTTAGAGAAAGAAATCCCGAAATTCAATATTGATGATAATGTTCTGTCCTTCAAAAAGAATCCTAAAACAAGCTTATATATCCCTAAACCAAACCCTACTAGGATTATAAAGCATAAAATATCAAAATTACAAAACTGCCCTTAAAATTAAAACCCATAAAAAAATATTAAAATAATAGAAAAACCCATGTAAACGATCCCGAATCGCTAAAATCTATCGTTAGTCACAGCCAAAGCCGTGAGTTTTGTTCAGACCGCCGTTTCTCTTAAAACGACCGAATTTGAGCCCGATCCGATGTCGTCAACCGGGTCCGTCGATTCTAGTCGCATCATCGTTTCACCTTCCGTTTGGACTTCTGTCTGTCCAACCGGTCCAGAAACGCACCACTAATAGATTCTGCATCATACCACCTGACGTAGCGTTCAGCGAATAATTCAAACAAAACCTTACTTAGAGGAAAAAATCCCGAAATTCAATATTGATAATAATATTCTGTCCTTCAAAAAAAACCCTAAAACAAGCTTATATATCCCTAAACCAAACTCTACTAGGATTATAAAGCATAAAATATCAAAATTACAAAACTACCCTTAAAATTAAAACCCATAAAAAATATTAAAATAATAGAAAAACCCATGTAAACGATCCCGAATCGCTAAAATCCATCGTTAGTCATAGCCCAAGGCGTGAGTTTTGTTCAGACCGCCATTTCGCTTAAAACGACCAAATTTGAGCTCGATCCGATGTCGTCAACCGGGTCCGCCGGTTCTAGTCGCATCACCGTTTCGCCTTCCGTTTGGACTTCTGCTTGTTCAACCGGTTCAAAAACGCACCACTAATAGATTCTGTATCATACCACCCGACGCAGCGTTCAGCGAATAATTCAAACAAAACCTTGCTTAGAGAGAGAAATTTCGAAATTCAATATTGATGATAATATTATGTCTTTCAAAAAGAACTCTAAAACAAGCTTATATATCCCTAAACCAAACCCTACTAGGATTATAAAGCATAAAATATCAAAATTACAAAACCGCCCTTAAAATTAAAACCCATAAAAAATATTAAAATAATAGAAAAACCCATGTAAACGATCCCGAATCGTTAAAATCCATCGTTAGTCACGCGTGAGTTTTGTTCAGACCGCCGTTTCGTTTAAAACGACCGAATTTGAGCCCGATCCAATGTCGTCAACCGGGTCCGCCGGTTCTAGTCGCATCACCGTTTCGCCTTCCGTTCGGACTTTTGCCTGTCTAACAGGTCCAGAAACGCACCACTAATAGATTCTGCATCATACCACCTGACGCAGTGTTCATCGAATAATTCAAGCAAAACCTTGCTTAGAGAAAGAAATTCCGAAATTCAATATTGATGATAATGTTCTGTCCTTAAAAAAGAATCCTAAAACAAGCTTATATATCCCTAAACCAAATCCTACTAGGATTATAAAGCATAAAATATCAAAATTACAAAACTATCCTTAAAATTAAAACCCATAAAAAATATTAAAATAATAGAAAAACCCATGTAAACGATCCCGAATCGCTAAAATCCATCGTTAGTCACGGCCAAAGGCGTGAGTTTTGTTCAGACCGTCGTTTCGCTTAAAACGACCGAATTTGAGCCCGATCCGATGTCGTCAACCGGGTCCGCCGGTTCTAGTCGCATCACCGTTTCGCCTATTGTTTGGACTTCTGCTTGTCCAACCGGTCCAGAAATGGACCACTAATAGATTCTGCATCATACCACCTAACACAGCGTTCATCGAATAATTTAAGCAAAACTTTGCTTAGAGAAAGAAATCCCGAAATTCAATATTGATGATAATGTTCTGTCCTTCAAAAAGAACCCTAAAACAAGCTTATATATCCCTAAACCAAACCCTACTAGGATTATAAAGCATAAAATATCAAAATTACAAAACTGCCCTTAAAATTAAAACCCATAAAAAATATTAAAATAATAGAAAAACCCATGTAAACGATTCCGAATCGCTAAAATCCATCGTTAGTCATGGCCAAAGGCGTGAGTTTTGTTCGGACCGTCGTTTCGCTTAAAACGACCGAATTTGAGCCCGATCCGATGTCGTCGCAACCGGTCCGCCGGTTCTAGTCGCATCACCGTTTCGCCTTCCGTTTGGACTTCTACTTGTCCAACCGGTCCGAACGCACCACTAATAGATTCTGCGTCATACCACGACGTAGCGTTCGCGAATAATTAATAAACCTTGCAGAAAGAAATCCGAAATTCAATATTGATGATAATGTTCGTCCTTCAAAAAGAACCCTAAAACAAGCTTATATATCCCTAAACCAAACCCTACTAGGATTATAAAGCATAAAATATCAAAATTACAAAACTGCCCTTAAAATTAAAACCCATAAAAAATATTAAAATAATAGAAAAACCCATATAAACGATCCCGAATCGCTAAAATCCATCGTTAGTCATAGCCAAAGGCATGTGTTTTGTTCAGACCGCCGTTTCGTTTAAAACGACCGAATTTGAGCCCGATCCGATGTCGTCAACCGGGTCCGCCAGTTCTAGTCGCATCTCCGTTTCGCCTTCCGTTTGAACTTCTGTCTGTCCAATCGGTCCATAAACGCACCACTAATAGATTATGCATCATTACAAGTGGTTATTGAATTTTAAAAGATAACTTCCAAATAATAATAAATTTGCGAGAACGGTAAGTTCTTTAATTGATTGAGGATCTTTTATAAATAGTAGAATGTAGCAATTTATAGACCACGATCAAATCAAAGGTTACAAGTGGTTATTGAATTTGAAGAGATAACTTCCTATTTCTATTTATAATCAAAAGTTGGTCATTTGTTTGGTGTCAACAATAATATGATATAAATTTGCAATTCAAACATTCCTACAAGAACTAGAATGAATTATAAAATCTGGAAATGATGTGCGAAAAACAGCATTCGACGCCTATTGTTTTTCCTTCCTTCCCAAGAAGAACCCGCGTCAAATAAATTATCAAAAAGGGCGGACGAAAAGCTAAATTTGGATTTTTATTGTCCTTTTTTTTATAATTTACGATACTTCGAATATCACTTTTCTTGCTTCAAAAGGAAAAAAAAAAAAAAACACGCTCGAGTTCGTTGACTAGAGACCCTGGGGAAGAAAAGATGGTATTTGGTTGAATAATCCCTTTGTTTTCTAGAGGAAATCATGCACGCGTGAGTTGACCTCATGACATTTTTATATATTAAAGTTCTAATCTTTATAAGAAAATGGTGACGTGAGGTTCTAATTTTGTTAATATTGAGTCTCTCTTTTTTGGGTCGAAAAATATATATATTAAATCTGCGCGTGGTGCTAATTTGCTAGGTAGAATAATCATACACAGAGCTAAGGGGTCATCTTAATTTCTATTAGAGGACATTGACTCGAGCATATCAAATATAATAGGACCTTAGATTAACTAAACATGTATCAATCTTATCCACAGTATTAGGTATGCATAGATCGATTAATGAGATCGGTTTGCAATTAGCATAGTAGGTTATAGATGAATACTTACGTAATTGAATCACAATGAAACGCTCGATAAGAATCTCTCGTGTTACTTCGTGAAAGCAGTAAAAACCCGATGCATTCACCTAAGGAGATCACTAAGAGGGAGGTCAAGTTCAAACCCTGTCAACATATCTAGTCGAATCCACATTTACTCAAATGTGCATCTCAACAATCTCCTCAGTAATAGGTCTACTCTCCCTTAATCGCAATAAAAACCCAAATACCCGATACCTTCACCCGAGGAGATCACTAAAAGGGAGCTCAAATTCGAGACCGTTAACATATCTAATTGGACCCACATTCACTCAAAAGTTTAAGCTATTGAGTTATGAGCCAACTATGATATATTAATTACTCTACACCACATCATCTCCAATGTGGGATTTCTCTGAAATAACTCACATGTGCATCTCAACAATTAATTAGCACATCGTACCTCTCTATTACATTTTTCAATTACAAGAGAATGAGATTATATATACCCAGTAGCTATTCATGTACCCAAACCCAAACTACTAATAAAATATTGGCTCCAATTATAAAAGCCCTCTGGCGGCTCGAGGGCCCTACCCCTGCGGCCCTCCCAAACGTCCACCTGCTCACCGAAGAGCAGGACAACCGTCCTTCTCTGTGTCGATGGGGAGTATGAACCACACCCCAACAAGGGAACTGCGAGCCGAATCCACGCTGATTGAACGATCGAACCACTGACTCGTGCTTTTACCGGCCTTGTATTAATGCAGCATCGTTTTGTGATTGTTGTCTACGTCGTCACGAGCGCATTCGATGAGAGAGAGTTTCCCGGAACGTCCTAGAATGTCATATAAATTATATACATAGTCACGTGAAAATTCTGGAAAAACAGTTGGAAAAATTTCGCCCCCTTCCGCACGTAAGTATTCAACCATAAATAGAAAAGAAAGAAAGAAAGAAAGAACCACATCAAAAGGAAAAGGAAAAGTCTTCCCTTTGGAAAATTTGACCTCGACCTCTCTGCCCCTCCTCTGTTTCCCCCGAAACTCCGGGTTAAACGAATAACTAGCGTCGGCCACAGGTTTTCCTCCGGATTCACGTACTGGAGAGAGAGAGAGAGAAAGCTGTACAGTGAAAGTGACCACTGAGAGACAGAGAGAGACAGAGGAGAAAAGTAGCGAAAACCAGCACGCGCAGCCCCACGGCGTCCTCTGGTTTTCATCTGGGTCAGCGGAATCTTGCTTTAAATATGCTCTGCTCCGCTGATCCCATGCCACCCCTTCAAACTTGAAACTTTCCACAAACCCTCTTCCTCTTTCAAGCTCTTCCTCGCCCTCCGCCTCTCTGTTTCTCTCTCTGTGTGTGTCAGCCAGCCGGTTTTGAATAATGGGTTCGATCCCTGCTTTCTCTTCCGCCCCTGCCGTGAAGCCCTCGCTCGCGCCGCCGGAGCCTCGTGATCGCGCTGCCGTCGATCCCGGGACGCTCGGCGGCGGCGGCGGCGGCGTGCTGCTTCGGGTCGCCCGCGATCGCCGCCGCGGGATCGGCCGGCGTTTCGGACGTGACGAAGAAGAAGATCGTAGTAGGGGATGCCGGTTACGTCCTCGAGGACGTCCCTCATTTCTCTGATTACATTCCCAATCTCCCTGTACATCTCTCTCTCTCTCCCTCTCTAATCGATAGTTTGGTTAAATTTGCTTGCTTGCTTGTTTGATCGATTTCACTTTGTTTTCTTCTTATACTATTTGTTGCGTTTCATGGTCCGGAATCGGAGGAAATTGAAAAGGGTGTGAATGAATTTACATTCCTGAGCTTCCGAGATTCACGGAACAGAGACAAAAGTCTCTTCTTCTTCTTCTTCTTCTTCCTTTTTCCAAGTGGGGAAAAAGAAAGAATCTGACACTAGCTTAGCTTAATTTGTTTATTTCAAATGAAGGACATTAAGTACAGTTCCATCATAACAAGGGCTGTTCTCCAATAATTAAGTTGCCGATTGATCGACTGTGTTGGATTCGTCGCTTCATTTTCAGAGTTGACTCTATTCTTCAGCTTCAAAATGTCATGTCAGGTCCTTTTGTGAGTCAATCACCCGCTTCTGATAGGATTTGTTTGCCATCTTCTGATTTTACTAGTGCTAAGCCTGGTTAAAGATTCATCAAATTTAAATTTTGAAGGGTCATTAGCGGTTAATTGATCATGTTCTCATTTGCTATATGTTCATTTGTTTTCTTGCAGACCTATCCTAATCCGTTGCAAAACAACCCTTCATATTCAGTTGTGAAGTAAGTCGGAAAAATTGTTCCTTATTCTTGTTGATTCGAAAGGTTTTTATGTCGCGAACTGAAGGACATTCGTATTGACATGTTATATTTTCCTTAACCAGACAGTATTTCGTCGATTTCGATGACACCGTACCCCAAAAGGTTAGCCCCCCTTCTGCAACACATTCCGTTCTTGTGTTGGCGTAGATTTCGATTATCTGCTAGGAAATATCGCGTCTGTTATCTCAATAACATTATCTTCGTTTCTGTAGATTGTCGTGCACAAGGACACTCCAAGAGGAGTACATTTCCGACGTGCAGGGCCGCGTCAACAGGTATAAGTTTCCTTCTGCTCTGTCATGACAGAAGAAATACCGTGCTCTAATGCTCATGACTGACTAATGCTGTTGGACAATTCGATATCATGCAGGTGTACTTTGAGTCCGATGATGTTTACGCATGTATTGTGACATGTGGAGGTCTCTGTCCGGGGCTCAACACGGTGATCAGGGAAATCGTGTGCGGGTTGTACAATATGTACGGCGTCAAGAGAGTTCTTGGCATAGACGTAAGTGCGCATAATCCACTCATTAAGGCATTGTCATTAACTCCAAAATGATCAGAAATGATAGAGGACATTATGACGATTTATTGGGTTCTTCTACATTAGAACTCCATTTGGTCCTACTCGAGAATTTGTCGATATATTTTCGTATCTCTGGCTGTGTAACTAAAGTTAGGGATATGTTGCAGAATTTCCTAATGGAATCGTTTTTATCAAATATCGGATCTGCAGGGCGGCTACAAGGGTTTCTATGCTCGAAATACAGTTCCTTTGACTCCAAAGGTCGTAAATGATATCCATAAACGTGGAGGAACCATCCTCGGGACATCACGCGGTGGTCATGATACAAAAAAGATAGTCGACAGCATCCAAGATAGGGGAATCAACCAGGTCTTTAACCACATTTCTCAAATTTACAAATTTTTGCTGTTTGTTAACTTTATGTAGTTTCTGAGACACCACATGTACTACTCTCCAGTCCGGCTTTTCCGTCGCAGGAAGACATGCTTACAGCTTTCTGAATTTCAGGTCTATATAATCGGGGGTGATGGATCTCAGAGAGGGGCATCTCTGATATTCGAGGTGAAAAAATGATCTGTTGAGTGTTTTTTGTTGGTGACGACATGCTATGTTTCACTTTGTTGAAGTTGAGTCACACTCCAATGTCATTAACAATGCAGGAAGTTAGACGACGAGGTCTGAAAGTAGCAGTGGCCGGTATCCCCAAGACCATTGATAATGACATTCCAGTATGTACCATTACCATCTGAACTACTCAAAACTTGTAGAATGGACAGTGTCTCACTTTTATGCCCTTGGCTGATGCAGGTTATTGACAAGTCTTTTGGCTTCGACACTGCTGTTGAGGAGGCTCAGCGTGCTATCAATGCTGCCCATGTTGAAGCTGAGAGTGTTGAGAATGGTATTGGTGTAGTAAAGCTGATGGGCCGCCACAGCGGTGAGCTTCCTTTCTTGATTTTTTTTTTACCCTTTAATATGTCGTAATCTGTTCTTTGATGTGCCTTAGTTCTTGTTACTGCATTATCATGTGCCAGGGAATATTTAGAACCATGACTTGTCGACATGAATCAGCTAATTTTGACTTTCTAACACTATTCGTTGAGTGCATCATTGTCTTGCTTCTATGTCCATGATATTCGCATCTTTCTTCAAGCATGTGATTGAACTTAGAGATGGGTTTTGTGCCAGGATTTATTGCGATGCATGCCACTCTCGCAAGCCGCGACGTGGACTGTTGCTTGATTCCAGAGTCGCCCTTTTACCTTGAAGGTGCAGGTGGGCTTTTCGAGTACATAGACAAACGACTGAAGGAAAACGGGCACATGGTTCTTGTGGTTGCCGAAGGCGCAGGACAAGAACTCATGTCCAAGAGCATCGAATCCCTGGATAACAGTAAGGATGCTTCTGGCAACAAGGTCCTCCAAGACGTCGGCCTGTGGATCTCCCAGAGAATTAAGGTGGACATATTGTTTAAGTTCGCATTTTGACTTCCTCTGCAATTCCTCGAATTCAAAACCGATTTGCTGAACATGTTTCCTGATTTTTCTTTCTGCAGGATCATTTTTCCCAACAGGGTAAGATGGCCATAAACCTCAAATACATAGGTAGGTATTTTGTAACGTGCTGTTGTAATAGTATGCTTATGTCGGAAAGCAACAGAAGGATCTAACTTTAATCAAATGTTTGTTTTGACAGACCCTACGTATATGATCCGCGCCGTACCAAGCATCGCGTCCGACAATGTGTACTGCACGCTTCTTGCTCAAAGCGTCGTTCACGGAACAATGGCGGGCTACACTGGCTTCACTTCAGGACTCGTCAATGGAAGACAGACATACATACCTTTCTATGTACGTGTGGTCAATGAGTACATATCGGCATTCGAATCGCGGTTTCTTTTGGTGCGAGTAACGCGTGCAATCCTTCACCTTACCCCGATTCTTTGTTGTTTTCTTTTGCTCCAGAGAATTACAGAGAAGCAGAACAAAGTCGTGATAACGGATCGGATGTGGGCGAGGCTCTTGTCTTCGACCAACCAGCCTAGCTTCTGGAGTCCTAAAGACGTGATTGAGGACAAAAGAGAAGAAGAGCCACCAACAGAGTTGCCAGATGACCCAATCTGCGCCCAGGTTGACTTGATCGGCATCGGGAAAGAGACCGGTTAAAGTTATGCCGATATTTCTGTGAGCATATTAGCTAATTTGTTCGTAATACATTGATTGGCAGATCTAAGTTATCGGTTTGTATATAGCTATACATGTGCTGGAGAAACGTAAGACAACGCAGTCGATGCTTGCTCGGTGTAATCTCTTAGAGTTTGAGTCGCAATGAAATGATTTCCTCACGAATCCTCCGAATTCCTGAACCATGTTGCACAAGAGCTGGTTTCTCTTTTCTCTCAGCATGTAAACCGTTTGATGCAAGAAAGAAGATGGATATGGAGTTCGCCTGAGGCTTTGCTCATGGCAGGTTGGCACAGCCCTTTCGCCCAAAACGCTTCACTGATGATACAACCTGAACGTGATCGAAGTCAACCTTGCCTCCTTCCCAAGCTAAGCAATTTCTGCCACAACTTGTCCATGGAACAACACATGTTTGCACGCAAACTGTTCTTTTGTTGGCAAGTTACGAATGTGACTAACTCCAAATCGACGCCATTTAACGTGTTTTGACCGATTTTTGAGAAAATGACAGTTTCTGATCACATTGAAACACTCCTTTAAAGACGAGAGACGAATCTGACGGCCACACGCGAATTTGATGATTCTAAGCAAACATTTTCACCCGCTCCCTGTGTCAACACGTTGCTTAGCTGTTAGGCGAATAGGCCGGCACCCTGCAATTGATAATTCTGAACCGAACAAATAAGGCTCAATTCCTTTAAGTTTGGATCTTGGAGACGAAAATCGAAATGGACCGAAGAAATGACTTACCTAGGGAAAACGAGGCACGCATGAGCGATTCGCCGGATCTGAGCATGTCCGAAAATCGAGATAAACGGAACTTTGAACTCGCGAACGGCGGCATCCGAAAACAGGAAAAGCTCTCAGATTGTGTATCAACACAACCGTGAGTCCCAAGTACACATGGAATGACATTTTACACTTGAACGACATCATTGAGCATGAATTTAACGCAGTTGGACTTGGGCACCAACTGAAAGTTGGTGTTTTTTGTGAGAGGGTTAATACCACAAAACCTCCAAACTATGCCTATCATAACACAAATACCCCAAACTTTTTTTGTACCATAAAAAATCTTGAATTTATATTAATGTGTCACAGTGGACAAGTTTAGGATTTTTTGTGGCACAAAAAAAGTTTGGAATATTAGTATCGGAGTGGGTATAATTTGGGTTTTCTGTGGTATTTGCCTTTGTGAGTCAAGAATAATTGTGAATCAGAATTGAGATATGAATTAAAATTGGTGTTTTTTTAAGGAAAAAGCCATCAAAAAACATTAAACTATATCCACTATGACACATTTACTATGAACTTTTTTTTGTGACATCAAAAACCTCAAACTATACTCACCGTGACAATTCGCCCTATACCTTTTAATATGACTTGTACCTATGTGACACATTTACCTTTCGTTAAGGTTCTGTCACTTGATTTTTAGCTAAAGTAATATCGTTTTTATTTTATTAAAGTCACGTGAACACCATATCATCGCAATATTAACATTGGAGGAATCTTGATGGAGGATAAACGTGTTATATAGATATAAATTTGAGACTTTTGGTATCATGAAAAAAAAAAAGTCGAATGTGTTAAAATGGACATGGTATGGTAATTTTTTTTTTTTGTGGCTTTTTGACCTTTTCTTTAAAGAAAATTAGGCAAAGCAAGCCTTTGCCTGCTTCCCAGCTCCCGTGTCAACCCGTTGAGCTTCGCAGAAGAAGCAAAGCCATTCTTCTCTCTCTCTGGGTGGAAGGTGAAGTTGAAGGTGAAGGGGAAGGTGGTGAAGGTGAAGGAGGTGAAGGAGAAGGGATGGGGATCAGATTCATACTGATGGTGAACAAGCAAGGCCAGACCCGTCTCGCCCAGTACTACGAGTACCTCACCCTCGAAGAAAGGCGCGCTCTTGAGGGCGAGATCGTCCGCAAATGCCTCGCCCGCACCGAGCAACAGGTTTCTCCCCCCACCCAATTTCCTCCTCCTTCTTCTTCTTCGTCCGCATCCATCGATCGGTCCGTCAGATCTCCCTGGTTCCAACCATCTGGGCCCTAATTTCATTGGGCGATTCTTGTTTGTTTGGGTGGTGCTTTCTTTGACATCGTAGATTGGGTGCTGGTACCCGTTTCGAGTTGATTATGGGTTGACGCATTAAGTAGAAGGAGAACTATGGATTTATGATCAGGAAACATCGGCGCGCTTGATTCTTGCAAAATTTTGATTCTCGCGAATTCTTGGTGTTCGAAGCATGATCTTAGCTTAATTCTTGGATTTAGTTCTTTTATAGGCAACGTCCTATCCATTAATCCGTGCATTTTAGATGGAATAGCCATCCGCCATAACTTGTCCTTGAATAACTATTTTGATCAATGGAGCCTAGAGGTTGGGCCTAGAATCAACGGTTTCGATGGGCGACCGTTCGATGATTTCTTGAAATTCTTGCGAACTAGCTGGCTTCATGGGAGACATTGCTACATTTGCGTGGATGGGCGATGAGAGGGAGCTTTTCCTGTCGGTCTCTCGTTTGATGACCTCGTCAAGGACATTGCTTTCCTGTTAGTTCCTTGTTGCGTATTTTGTTGCTCTTGTCCATTCTTAATATAAGGCATTCGTTAAGCTCTAAAAATCGAATGCTTCAGCACTTTGACGCTATTCGAGTGTGTTTGATGAGTTTCTAGTAGATGCAAGTAAATTAACTAACTGCAGCTCTAAATCATGTACCCGCTTAAGTCGCAGAAACCTTCTTAATACTGGAGGAAGGTTTAACGTGAATAGCCGCTGTCCTGTTGTCAATAGTAAGCATGATGCGAAGAAGTGGTTGAGTAGGAAATGTTGGAGGTGGTGGGGCGCACTGGTTGAGGTGGTGTTCTTCTTATGCTGGCGGTGGTTAAGGTAATGATCCTGACATTGATGATCCAAGAGATTGATTAATGGGGGAGGCGAAACTTGTGATGGGGCAGGTGTTGGATGTGGTGTTGCTGCTGGCAAGGTGATGGAATGGCCACGGGGACTGGCAATGACAGCACTGGAGTTGGATTGCGGTGGTAGTGGAGGCGATAATGGTGTGGCGCGGGTGATGGTGGTAGAAGCTTTGCAGTCAGTTAGATTTCAGATGACTACATATACATTTCAACTTTCAATTATTCAGTAATTACAACCTTCATTAAGTGAATATTTTTAGCTCTTAAATGTTCACTACTAATTGTTTAGTTTCATAAAGTTGGCTGATCATGTTTTTATTTGACTCCTTCCTGCTGTCCTGCTAGAGGATCTTGTATTTCCATTTAATACAAATTGGTTATGGAAGAATTATTGCTCACTATCTTATCATCATATATCTTGGTTCTCACATGGATATCCATTTTGCATGTTGCTTGGAACTTTTGCTTGTCGACAGTGTTCGTTTGTTGAGCATCGCAATTACAAGATTGTCTATAGGCGCTATGCTTCACTTTTCTTCTTGGTTGGAGTTGACAATGAAGAGGTAAAGCACCATCTTCTTGCCTAGTTTTGCTTGCTCTTTAAGATTGTTTGCACCCTCGGATGTGTTTTTATGGGTGTGACGGAGATCGTGCTATAATTTAGTAACTTTTCCTCTTTTTTTGTATAGATATTTTTATTAAGTCCCTTTTTGGTATAGATACTCATGAATTATGATTTCAAACTTTAGATGTACATGGCCACCTAAAACTTTTCCTGCTGTAGCATTGATTCATCTGTGTAATATGTTCCAGAATGAGCTTGCGATCTTGGAGTTCATACATTTACTAGTTGAAACCATGGATCGTCATTTCGGCAATGTGGTGAGTCATAAAGCAATAGCCTCTCCCCTTCAGTTCCTTCAAAAATGACTTCAAAGCGGGTTAAGTATGTGTATCTTTCTCCTCCTGATTAAATGCAGTGTGAACTGGACATCATGTTCCACTTGGAGAAGGCACATTTTATGCTGGAGGAAATGGTAATGAATGGATGCGTTGTGGAGACCAGCAAATCAAACATATTGACACCCATACAGCTGATGGAGAAATCATCATGAAACCATACCCAATAAAGTGTCGTCATTTTCTCTCGACGGTGCGCCAAGGTTACACATTATGGAACTCAGAGAAAATTTTTGGTGACTGTATATTACAAACTCTCGCTCTTTGTAATGCGCAATCCGTGCGTGGTTGTAGAATTTTTCAAGGACAAATTGTGGATTTCTGGAGGAACTGATTATGAGGTGGTGTAGTCTTTTTGCAACAGTACCAGAGTTGTAATGTACATTTCCGAGAAATGTCGGATATGCATTCAATTGGTCATCTTAAACGCATTTGAAAAACTGACTCGCGGAGGCAGAAACCTTGTATTGGGCTCTGTAATGTTATTCCTCCCGATTCCTGTTCTACTGTTCATGTCTTTCTTATGGGAAGTGTTGTCTACGTCGACTGCTATCTGCTTTGCTTTGCTTATTGATTTTCGCCCAATTATTGGCCTCAGTTGGAAGGCTTCTGCTTGCATTTTCAAAGTCGAAGACGCATCGCTTTGATATTTTTCTAATGAGATGTGTAGAAGCAAACTCATGGAGCTCATTGTGTCCTAGTGCGGAAACATCATTGAAGCAATGGCCGGTGATCTCAATACCATTCACCCTCTATCTTTACAAAGCACTTATTTCTCAATTCCTCCGGAACAATTTCTCAGCCTGGACTGTACCTTCCTAAGTAATTGTACCATACATATATACAAGATCCTGATTCTTACATTCAATAATACAAGCAGCATCACTTGCAGCTTCCATGTATTCGAGCCGCAAAATCATTCTAATCCGCCATTTTTCGTTCGCAATTAGTTACAAGAAAGATCATACCGCAGCAGGCCTCCCATCTTTTCTAGGATCACTCACAGCAGTAAGAGTTCCACGGACGACTCCAGAATTCAAGTCCTTGCGACTTTTGCGACCCGAATCGGGCGTGTTTTGTAGACTCTGAACGACAAGCTGGACAATTGCTCCTCCCGCTCTGGCTTCCAATTTATGACCTCTCCCCTTCAGGAAAAGCTTCCGTTCGTCCGCAAGCTCAATGTGATCACCATCGATGCAGGTGCAGTTTTCGTACAATACCACATTAGGTATCAGCTGCGGAATAGGAAAAGGACTGAGTCAAAAATGACCAGAACATAACAACTTGTAA